CTATCTCTAGAAATCAAGCTTTCTTGCATCATACTATCAATCTTGCCTTCTTCTCACTTAACTTGTCCTCTTAAATCTTCTTGTTACTCTTCTAATCCTTCAATGGCCTCATCTTCTCGTGCAAAAATCCCAACTAGAAGAAGATTTGCACCCTCATCTCAACCCCGTCCTAATTTTGTAGAAGGATGGATCTCCGATGAAGATGGGCGACGGGAATTTCTGTCCTATTGGAAGGAACGTGCTATTATTTCTCCTAAGTTCCTTATTGGTGAGCAATTCATCAATAGGGGATTTAACATTCCTAACCTCCTTGAAATTCAAGGAGTTCTCCCTTTCATCCAAATGCAAGGTACGTATTATCCTGACTTAGTTAGGGTATGTTACTCTAGGTTCAAATTTATGAAAGTGATCCTAGCAAAGATCTCATTGATTTGATGAAGTCAAAGATAGAGTCAAAGGTCAACTCTGCGGCGAGTCAACAAGTCACTCGGATAATTGTGCTAGAAGATTTAGTGTGTCTAACAGAAGGCTTAGGTAAAACCATTTTACCTTTTCTCGTCGCATAAAGTTTCTTCATTCATTTTGCAAAATGCCTCAAAAATAGTTTTAAACAAATCAAAAACAAAAGCATTTTGACAAAGAACTTTCTTAATAATGTTTTTAACTGATATTGCTTTGAAAGAAACGATTAAAATCACTTAGAATGTTTAAAGAAGTGTTTTTACAGTATTTTAATCGATACAAACTTCTTTTAATCGATTAAAACCCTTTAAAACTCTTTATGACCGATTAGAATTCAAATATGAGCGATCAGAACTCTTTTAATTGATTAAAACACGTTTCAATCGATTAAAACCACTTTGGAAGTCAGGATGATCGATCAGAATGAAATTATGACCGATCAGAGTTGGTTATGATCGATCGGAATTGAATTATGACCGATCAGACTTATTTCAATCGATTAAAACGAATTTCAATCGATTAAAATGACTTGAAAATTTTTTTACGAGTTTCAATCGATTAAAACGCATTTCAATCGATTAAAATAACTTGGAAAATTTTTGTACAGAGTTTCAATCGATTAAAACGTATTTCAACCGATTAAAACAACTTGGAAAAATTCTATGCAGGTTTTTAATCGATTAAAACTTCTTTGTATCAGTTAAAATAACTTGAAAAGTTTTATAAGAAAGTTTTAAAGTAAATCAATCAATTAAAACGCGAATCAATCGATTGAATCACACTTAGAAAATGTTTGTAAAATGTTTTAACTGATATAAACATAGTTGCATCAACTAAAACGATTCTGTTAAAGAAACAAGAACGCATTAATGGGTTGAAAGGACTTTTAACAGATTATAACGGCTATTTCAACAGATTAAAACAAACTTTCAACAGATTAATTAATGCAGCAGATTTGAAAATTCTCTTTAAAAACAGTTTTGCTTGAAACTTTTAAATAGAGATTGAATATCAGTTTTTACACATCCTTAAGCAATCAATCAAGCAACTTTAGCACTTTTTCAAGAAAGATTCGCAACAGTTTTTTTGAAGTTATTTTGAAAATCTTTCTTGAGGCAACTTGCATACTTTGAAGAAGAAACTCACTGCAGAATTGCGTAGACTGGTTTGAGCTTTCTTGTTTCTTCTTTGTTAATTCTTTTTCATTACTTTGTATTGTGTTGTGCCTGGAATTTGGGCACAAGTTTTCTCTGCAGCTGGAAGTTGGTTGTGGAGGTTATCAAGAACTGGAATTTGGTTCTTGGTAAGAGGTTGAGCACAGGAGCTGGAATTTGGTTCTTGTGGTTATACTGTGTGGTGCCTGGAATTTGGGTACTTGGGTTCTCTGTAGCTGGAATTTGGTTGCGAGAGGTTTCCAAGAACTGGAATTTGGTTCTTGGTGGAGAGGTTAAGTGCAAGAACTGGAAGTTGGTTCTTGTGTTAGATTAGGTGTAAGATTGTTGAGTCTGTAAAACATCTATTCTAGTGGAACCCAGCTAGAATTTGGCTGGAGACTGGACGTAGCCCTGGTATTGGGTGAACCAGTATAAAATACCGGTGAAATCTTTCTTAACCTTTCTCTCTTTTATTTCTGTTGCTGCGCTTATATTGTTTGATTGCTTGGTGATTCAAAAAGAGATTTAGAAACTTAATTTTCGAATTAGATAATTTGTGAATTGCGAAAAACTTTCAAAGATCAATTCACCCCCCCTCTTGATCTAAAACTACTTTTCTAACAATTTAGAGATCAAACTGCTACCTCTAGAGTAAAGGGAGTCACAATTATTCTTGATGATGATATTTGGGAGAACGTTGCCCACTTTCCAATTAGAGAAGATGTTATTTGTTAGAAAAGAAGGCTGAGATCAAGAGGGGGGGTGAATTGATCTTTGAAAGAATTTCGCAATTAATAGATTATCTATATGTAAAAATAAGATTTCAGATCTGTTCTTGAATCACAAAGCAATCAATCAACAATAAATGCAGTAACAGAATTAAAAGAGGAGAAAGGTTTAGAAAGATATCACCGGTGTTTATACTAGTTCACCCAATACCAGGGCTACGTCCAGTCTCCAGCCAAATTCCAGCTGGGTTCCACTAGATTAAATGTTTTACAGATTACAATCTTACACTTAATCTACCACAAGAACCACAATTCCAGTTCCTGCACCTAACCTTTCACCAAGAACCAAATTCCAGTTCTTGACAACCTCTACAACCAAATTCCAGCTGCAGAGAAACCAGTGCCCACAATTCCACGCACCAAACAATACAAAAAGAATGTAAAGAAATGAAAAGAAGAAACTAGAATGCTCAAACCAGTTTTATGCAATTCTGCATAGTGTTTCTTCTCCAAAAGAAAGCAATTTGCCTCAAGAAAGAATTTCAAAGAACTTCACAAAAACTAGCGCGAATCTTTCTTGAAAGAGTGCTAAAGTTTGTTTGCTTGATTGCTAAAGATTGATGTTCAATTGTTGTGTTTGAAATGTTCACTACAAAAAAAAGCTGATTATCTATGGCAAAAATCCATAGGTAATGGTAAAAATCTGTAGATAATGTCATTTTATCTACAGATTTTTTTCCGTAGAAAATCCGTATGTAATATGATCGTAGGTAATTACCTACGGAATTATTGTTCGTAGGTAATGTCATCCGTGGGTAATTACCTACGGATTGTAATCCGTAGCTAATTACCTACGAACAGAATCCGTAGATAATTACCTACGGATTATAATCCGTGGGTAATTACCTACGAGCAGAATCAGTAGATAATTACCTATGGATTGTAATCGTAGGTAATTACCTATGGATTGTATTCATAGGTAATTACCTACGAACAGAATCCATAGATAATTACCTATGGATAAAATCCGTAGGTAATTACCACATTCATTATAAAATTATATCACCACCAATGATTTAACCAAATTTTATCTGTTAATTACATACATATTACACACAAAGTATTTAGATATCAAATTTAACAATATTTCATAATATTGATATGCACCAAGTGCATATTTAAATATCAAACACAAATCCTAAATATTAGCATGCATCAAATAGTCATTCAAAATATTTAAGAACATATAAATCCAAAGAAGTATTATAATAAATATTATGACAATATTGTTTGAGTGTCTTAATAATCTGAGTAATGTCCTTGTTCATTTTGGGGTTGCTCTGCGAAAGCTGGTTGATGTTGTGATTGTTGTTGTTGCTGCTCTTGCTGCTCCTGTGATTGTTGTTATGATCCTTGTTGGGAAGGTTGTTATTGAAATACTTGTCGGGCATCGGGTGGAAGTAAAGGAAGGACAACACTGACAAGTGTTTGTAATTGGCGGCTCAATCTTTCATTATCCTCCCTATAACTAAGCACTTGTTCCTTTAATTGCGTAATTTCATGAGAATCAGTAGATCCTGAATATGAGAGGGTATCTCCAGGCCTAAAATTATGGGCAAGTTCTCCAACACCATAGATCAGACCTTTTTTGTTGCCACTGCAGCAAGAATCCAACTTTCAGTCCTTATTCTCTCCTCCTCTATAGGATCTAATGGAGATGACTCGGTTTCGACAACACAGGATGTTGCATCGGATCTAGCACTGAGAGTATCTTCTCCGAAATTCTTCCTATTAACATACAAATAAAAATTATGTACGTTATACAACACGTATCTATCATAACATATAAGAGAGTAATATTAAATAAGTTCTCAACTTACATGAGTTTTTCTAGACCTTTCATCAACAAATTCACCATTAACCTTTCGTATATGAGTCTGTTTGAAAACCTCATCAATATGTGCGGGACGACCCAACTCCTTTTCCTGCAAAAAAAAATAATTAATAACATATCATAAGAAATGAAAGAAAGAAAGAAACTTTTGTTATAATTGCATATTTACCATACGAATGGCGTGATCATACATACTAATAGAACCACATGTGTGTAAACTACCACCCATCTCGGAAGCTCGATTCTTTTGAGCTTGTGCACACTTTGCACGATAATTAGTTGAGTTCCACTTGTTCAACAGAGTCTTCCACACATCATCAAATATCCAATAGGGCTTCTTTCCTGTCCTTCTAGCCTCTTTGAACATTTCAGATAGCCTATGTGAGGCCTTTGAGTGAAAATTCTTTTGAATCCTGTCCTCATCTTCAGGTCTCCAGGTGACCTTTCTCTTTGCAAATGATTTACACAAACAAACAAATAATAATAATTGTGTCAATGAATGTAAGTAATAAAAAAAATTCATCAGCCTAAATATAAGAAAACTTACTTTAAACCGCTGAAAGAATGTCTCTTTTTCAACATCGGTCATTGAACCCCATGTCAGCCATGGCTTAGAATATTGTTGCTTAATAGTCATTGTTATAACTTGTGATGCAACCCGACATGGATGGAACCTTCGCCCAATAATTAAATTAAATAATAATCACAATTTCCTAATACTTGCAAATAATGGGAATAATATAATTTTAACTTAATTCTTACCCTAGACCATAAGGTGATATGATAGGAAGATTAGTGCCAAGTGGATGATCCTCCTCAATGTCTGATTGTGCATCACCTTCCTGAATATGCACTTCTTGGTCTTCCCTAGCTAGTGTATGATGGACTCTAGAAGGCACTGATAATACTGAAGGCAATGTAGCTCCTGGGGAAGGTGCTGATGCAATGACAGGTGATGGACTAGGGTTGGGTGCATCAACTGGGGATGGGGCAGAAGTGGTTGTAGGTGCAATATTGTTTGTATGGGCATGTATATTCTCAGCACCTACAGATGAAGAAGGTATAGGTGTAGGAGCTATAGGTGGGGGAGGGACATTTATTTTAAGTATATAGCGTGGTTTTTTTCGTTCCGTTACTTTTTTCCCCTTTTTGGGATGAGACATGGGAGGTTGGGGTGAGTCACATCCTCCTGATGACATATTTGTACATAAGAAATTTATATAGTCAATTATGCGAAGGAATAACATCATACATAATATGCAATATAAAAATTAACTCATAAAGAACAATTTCTTAACTTCACGAATCCTATTCATCTTCATCTTCTCCCTCTCCCTCTTCCTCGTCCTCGTCCTCTTCCTCTTGTTCTTCATCTTCTTCTTCTTCTTCTTCTTCTTCTTCTTCTTCTTCTTCTTCTTCTTCTTCTTCTTCTTCTTCTTCTTCTTCTTCTTCCTCTTCCTCTTCCTCTTCCTCTTCCTCTTCCTCTTCCTCTTCCTGGACTACTTCAACATCAACTTGTGAATGTTGCAATCCAAAAACACCTTCAACTTCAATAGCTTCATTTACATGGGACATTTCATCCATTTGGTAAGGAACATCATCTTCCATGTCTTGAGATTCTATGCGACCTCTAGGCTTTGTTTTTATAGCAACATACCACCCTTCTTTGTCCTTTCTTGATCTCGGATATGGGATATAATATACTTGTCTAACATTATGTGCTAAGATAAAAGGATCAAATGGTAAATATTTTCTATCTATGCGAATGTCTACAGTTCCATATTTAGGATCCACTAATGTACCTCTACGTGATGGATCAAACCATTCACAATAAAATACCACCACTTTCTTTGGGGAGGTTGAAGTATTATATTGCAACTCATATATGTGTTGAATGATGCCATAAAAATCATCTTCACCCCCTTCTGTAAGGCCTTTTACATGTACACCACTATTAATGGTTTTTTTCCCTTGATTCCAAGCATGAGTGTGAAATTTGTATCCATTGACAAAGTATGTGTGCCATTTATTGACACATGTGAAAGGACCAATCGACAACTCCCTTAAGTGCATGTTTGTTACACTTAAAGGCTCACTATGAACCTACAAATGCAAAGAAGGTACAGTCATATGTTCTTAAGCATATTGTAATAAACTAAGTTATTAATGTAACCATACATACTTGGTACTTAAACCATTGAGGAAAATGTCTATGTATGTGATTTGACACATTTGAGTCATTGGGTTGACCAGATTGCAAGAAGGAACTATCAAAAGATAGGAGAAGGATGGACAAAAATTTAATCAAATAAGAAAATGATATAATTATGAAATATAGTGTTTGAAATACTCACTCAAGGTATGACTTAATTTCAGTACAGTTGATCAAGACATGAACATGAGCCGAGTTCCACTCTTTTTGGGTTAACCAATGAATTGATGTCTTTCCTGAGTGACGACCAAGCACGTTAAAGACAGATAACCTTGATGGATCCCTTTCAATTTCAACTTGTATTTCATTTCTCTTATTCTATGGTGATAGAATGAAGTTCTTGAAATAATGGGAACAAAAGTGAGTTGTCTCTCTATGCAAGTATGAGGCACAAATTGATCCTTCAACACGAGCTTTATTTTTTCTGATCGTTTAGAATCACCCATGAATCTATAAAATCAATGAAATGAGGATGGTATTAGCTCAATATTTAGTAAATCAAATTTTGTGCATAATCAATGATAGTCTTCTTACCTTTCAAATGGATACATCCATCTATATTGAGCTTGGTCCACCAAGTTTGGCTTCATACACAAGATGAATAGGTAAGTGCTCCATTGAATCAAAGAATGCGGGGGAAATATTCTCTCCAACTTACAAAGAATTATTGGAATATTTTCTTCCATTTTAGCCAAGTCATGATGCCTCAATGTTCTAGAACACAAATCTTTAAAAAAATGGCTCGGTTCGAGTAAGAGGGTTCCAAGCATGCACTTGGTAATGAACTAAATGCAATAGGGAGTAAACACTCCATAAAAATATGACAATCGTGGCTCTTCATCCCATGCATCCTTCCCTTGTCTACATTGACACATCTTGCTAAGTTGGATGAATAACCATCGGGCATTCTAAGTTCCTTGATCCAATGATAAACTAACTTTGCTTCCTCTGCAGTTAAAGTATAATTTGCTTTTGGCTTTACCATCTTCCCATTAGCACTGCAACTTCAACTCTAAATCTGGTCTACAACAATACAAAGTTAGGTCCTTCCTTGCCTTATCATTATCTTTTGTCTTACCTTTGACATTCATGACGAGTGTTGAATATATTGTCAAAGAAATTTTTCTCTATGTGCATAACATCAAGATTGTGCCTCAATAAATTATCCTTCCAATAGGGCAAATCCCAAAATATACTTCTTTTTGTCCAATTATGTCATTCCCCATAGCCTGGTAACTTGTTCATATGAGGGTAATCTATGACTTTGGGTACATCCATAATTATACTCCAAACTTGCTCGAGATGTCAATGTACATGGTGGGTCACCGGTTTCGAGTTTTCCCCTTTCGAAAGCTTTTTTATTCCTTCTAAATACATGATTTTTGTGCAAGAACCTACGGTGTGAATCAAACCAACTATTTTTCCTCCCATTCTACAATGTAAAGGCCTTTGTATCCCCCATGCAATGCGGGTAGGCTAGTTTACCTTGAGTCCCCCAACCTGACAACATACCATATGCAGGAAAATCATTAATAGTCCACATCAAACTAGCCCTCATTACAAAATTTTGCTTCCTTGAAATATCGTATGTTTCAATTCCTCTCCACAATTGCTTGAGATCATCTATCAAAGGTTGTAAATACACATCAATACATGACTTTGGATTACGTGGACCGGGAATGAGGCATGTCAAAAACATATAAGGTCTAGACATACATATTTCGGGAGGAAGATTATATGGGGTCATAATTACTGGCCAAAAAGAATATGGGGTGGCGAGATGCTTGAATATATGGATTAAATCCATCAGAACATAGACCTAGTCTTACATTACGTGGTTCGACGAGCAAAATCTGGATAAACTTGATCAAAATGTTTCCAAGCTTTACCATCGAGATGGATGACACAACACACCTTACGGTCTTTTATTGTCATAGTGCCATGTCATTTGTCCAGCCGTTTGCATGGATGCATACAACCTCTTTAAGCTTGGAATTATAGGTAAATAGAGCATGCTCTTAATCAGAATTGGTTTATTTTTACGAGTTTCAAGTTTTGGGGCATGATACCTAGGCTTATGACAAAATTTACATTGTAGTAAAGCTCCATCAATCTTCCCGTAACCATTATCATAAAAAAGCATACAACCATTAACACAATAATCGATCCTTTTAGCCTCCAATCCCAACTTTGAAACTAACCTCTTCGCATCATAATAGCTTTTTGGTAAACTATCTTTGTTGGGTGTTACATCCAAAAGCATTTTTATAATGAAATTTAAAGCGTGATCGGGAACATGCCAATTAGATTTGCAAGCTAACAATCTTACACATATGGACAATTTAGAGTCTAAAGCACCTTCAAACAAAGGTTTATTCGCTTCCAACAACAAATCATAAAATCTTTGAGCTTCTTCATTTGGAGGCTCTTCCATGATATTTGGCTCTGATGGTTGAAATGTTTCATGTTGCCTAAGTGCGTCATACACCATGTCCTGCATTGCCATCAATGACTCATCTTCTGAAAAATGTAACTCACTACTTGAAGCATGTGTCCAATTTTTGTTAGCATGAGGCATTTGTTCACCGTGATCAACCCAAACATAATAATCAGGCATGAAACCATTTTTATAAAGGTGAAGTGTAACCATTTCCATTGGCAAGATCTTTGTACATTGACATTTATTGCATGGACATCTCGTTTGGACTTCATTTTGATAACAAACTTGTTGAGAAGCTTTCATGACAAACTCTTCAACACCATCAGTAAAACTTTGTTTTAAACCACCTCTTTTACTATGGCTTCGATCATACATCCAATGGCGATTTTCATGAAATTGATCCATGTTCTACAAAATATGAACTTCAATGTTACACTAATTAAAATACCAACTTAGAATAGATTTTGACAAGTGTTTGGTAATGACCAGTATAATAACTTGAAGGACATTCCATGTAGCCAACAAGGTTAGAATAACTAAATAACTAATCTCATCTTCATCCTAAATCAATGCAAACAAATTGAAAAAAATAATCAAACAAATCAATTCTTCCACTAGCCATGTTACATGTTACATTTACTACCCCCCCAATTCCTCACTGAATACATGGCATGCATAGCCAGCCAATCAATCATTATTTAAAATTCAATATAGAAAAGTCAAAGGTAATTACTTACCTACTAACAAAGATCTTGAAATTGGATGAGCAGACCACTTCCTTCCCTTTATCCTTCTATATTTTGTGAAGCTTCAATATCAACAATCTCTGCATTTTAAAAAGCTCATGAACCAGTTAATATGTCATTAGATGATTCATAACATGGTATCAGATCATGAACCATTTAACAAAAAAACATAATGTGTTAAGATCCGATTGCAAGGTATGGAAAATGTGGGGATCATAAGGTTTTGGGCTCTTCAACTATAATAGCAGCCAGCTTTTGTAGTGTGGCTTCCCTAAGATGCTTATCAATTAGTATCAAAGCCTTCCACAATGTTTCTCAATTGTAACCGAGGAGTGGGGTGGTGATGCAGGCATTGTAGTGTTTAGGGCACAGCAAGCCCATGTGAGCCATGGGGCTGCGGAGCGTGGTGGGGATGTTGGGATCTAATTACAATTTTTCCTTTTACATTACTTCGCTAAGAGCATTGACAATAACAATTGAACACAAGAAAAAAAAAATACAAGTATCTAAAACCAGGTGTTTTCATTTCACACTCAATAGAGCCACATATCTTGAATTCAAGCTGGTGTGATTGGTGTGATCTCTTTCATAATAATATTGGGAGCAGTAAATGTGAAGGTAGCATAATGTAGGGAATATAATGGATTGAGCAACGTTGAATACCCTGCCATAAATTGTAGAAAACACAATGCAGTTTTGACAGAATTGAGATACATTTCAGCCAATCAGGTATTTTCTAGGAAAAGACAAATTGAGATGTAAAAC